TAAAATAAAATGGTTAGTGGGTATTGGTTGGGTTTATAAGCATTGTGTTAGAAAAGCCCAATAATTGTTGCGTCTGTGGATGGGTTTTCTACCGAAGAAAAGAATCACACGACCGATATAAAGAAACAGCCCTTGTTGTGTTATGGCTATTAAGGACATGGGCCCACCTGTGAGAAACACTCTCCTTCTCCCCCCTCTCTTCACCGTGATATCATATGTGAGGCAATAATCCAAACAAATAAACAAAAGCAATAAAATTAAGATCGGAGAAATAATAAGGAAATACCAACCTGCTAATTTTGGTCCAATGAGATGTTTAAATAGAGATGTTTAAATCAATGTAGAACAATAATTATTAATCCGACGTTCTAAAATAAATGTCATTTTTTATTAAAAAAATTAAGATGAATTTTAATATTTTTTATTATATTGGTAGTGAATATATTATAAAATTTATTTATAGTTAATTCACGTATATGCGATGGTTTACTTTTTATAAGTTTAATGTAATAAGATTAAATTAGAAATGTTACAAATAATAATAATAATAATAATAATAATACTTTGACTTTTTAATTGGGACATTTATTTTGCATCAGCCAAAAATAAAAATGTGAACAAAATTCTTTTGAAATTTAGTGATTTACATCATCAAATTTTACTTTTATTATACATCTATCAAATGGTGAATCAAAATTCTTTTACCTTTTCTAATACTTATAAAAGAAAAGGGTAAAGTGCAAAAAAAAATCGTTGAATTATTGTTCTTTTGTAAATAATTTTTTGAACTACAAATTGTCTAAGGGCAAAAGACTATTTTCTGCCTCATTAAATGTATCATTTTTTATTAAATTATTTTTATTATATTTTCTCATGTCTAAAAATTAATTATACTATTTACCTTAATTTTATTATTAGTATCAATTTAATTTTATTATTAGTATCAATTTATCTTTAAAATGGTAAAAAAAAAAATAGATTTGTACCTACCATTTTATAAAATGATTAACTTATTATTAAAATTTTATTATTTATAATAAAATTTATTATACCCAGTTAAAACTTTTTTACCGTAGAAAAATACTTTTTTTTTTTTTCCATACAATATATTGAAAAAATATGATAAATTACTTAAATGAAAAATGCCTTATTTTTCATCTAATATATTCATGAAAATTTAAGAAATTAATTAAATTATTTTAAAATTTTCTACTTAAGATTTTTATTTAAATAATTAATTAAAAAAATTAAAGGTAAATTTAAGCAAATTTAATAGAGACTTTGTCATCTAATTAGTATGATTTTTTAAATTCTTAATTTATTTCAATAAGAAAAATAGATTAAGTGTAATTCAATAAAATAAATAGATTAAGTGTAATTCAATAAGAAATAACATTAACAGGCGTTGAAGTATTTTGCAATAAAATGTATTAATTCATGGAGTATTATGTATAAAATATACTTCAAGGGAGTTTATTTATAAATTCGAACATAATTTAGAAAAAAAAATTTCGCACTTTACCCAAATGATAATATATTGGGCCCATTTATGGATTGTGAGAGAGTGCCAGAACTCGACACTTTATCATTTTTCATGACAATATGGGTCTCGGCGTGCTGTTTATAGAATTGTACAGTAAGAGTATAATTTATAATAGTAGTAATTTATGAACTGAATTTGGAAGCTATCCAATATTATTTATATGAGTGGAGTGAATGTCATGCGGTGGAATTCACCATCCCACACACAAAATTAGAATTTCGCCCATAAATTATTATAAGAAAATTATATTTTAGTGACCCATTTTAAACAAAATTATTTTTAAATGACCATAAAAAAGAGAGAAATAATCCCCAAATCTAGATTTTTACTGGGGACCATTGAATTTTATTCCCTAAAATACCCTTCTCACCTCCTTCTCCCCAAACCACTGCCCCTCTGTAATCACCATCAGCATTTTAGATTTTGTTAAAGTGCACCGTTCATTTCTTAGTGAGTATTAAATGAGAGGAATTTCCACCACATGTTATCTGATAGAAGTTATGCAACATATTTACCTCAAATATATAACACCTATTACCACATTGCATCCAGATTTTATTTTTAAAAATAATTAAAATAATTCACTCGCACACCCTACATCGATTTGAAAACTGATGTATCCAAATTCTTACTTGCCTTTTATTTTGAAAACTGATGTATCCTCCAATGTCAAAGAAGTGAGTGATCCACGCACACCTAATTAAGATGACAAGGATGTTTACGTACTTTGATGCATTATGTGCCATGTGTAATTTTGGCTGCATGTAGATGTAACCTATTGTTATATTTTTGTTTTTGCAACTATATATATTGGTAAAAAAATCTTACTTATTCTCGAGATAAAAAAAAATTCACACTTCCTTTATACAATATGAATGTACAACAGCTATTTTAGACCATAGACATCTTAGCCATGTAGGCTCCGTTTGTTTGAATGAATATTTTTTTAAAAATATTTTTTTATTTTTTAGTATTTGATTGTTAAAAAATATTTACGAAATTTTACAAAAAAAATATATTAAAATTTAACAAAAATAACTTATTTATTAATTTTGGACAAGTTATTTTACATGCTCCGCCCGATGGATTCAACTCATATTCAACGTAGATCTTTACTAAAAACTGACAAAGTAAAAAATAAACGAATATTTTACTTAAAAAAAATACGTTGAAACAAACGAAGCTGAAGTAATAAATAAAACTCTAATATTTTTGCCTTAACCCTTTTTAAAAGGGTAAAAGATTGAAAGATGTGATTAATTACATATGTAAGTGTATAATGGGAGTTGTCCATTACTTAAAAAATATCATTATTTGATATAATGATAAAATATCATGTTTAAAATGTTTGAGAAAGTAGTGCAAAATAATTTCAAAAGTTACATTTATGACCAGTCTTTTCCTATCCTTACCCCCACATAAATAGGACCAGTATTAGGTAACTAGCCTTATCTTCTTGTCACCAAAATATTTTCATGAAAAAAAAAGAAAAAAGAAAAGTGTTATGTGATACTAAAATTTAATATAATTTGCAAATTGTGTATCTTAAGGATAAATGTTTAAAAAAACAAAAAAGTTACAACAATTTGTCCTCACTTTTGACTCTCAGGTGAGTGACAAACTGACCTAGGTTGTCCTTTTTAGGTAAGTGCATATCGTCACTTCACAATGTTATGACGTCAAAACTATGTGATGAAGTTTCATCACTTCCATCACACACTTGATCTTTTTGCTTAACGAGCACGGGTACAACAATGTAAGAATTAAGTGTTTTTTTTTTTTTTTTTGTTTTTTTTTCAAATGTAAGAATAAGATGATAAGACAAATTTTAGAAATTAAACATAAACAGGGCATGTGTACGGAAAAGAAAATATATATATTTAATTTTATAAATAAAAAATAATAATTTTTGTTAATTTTATATATTTTATATAATAATGTATTCAAAAAGTGTCCCAGATTTGCTTGTCAGGTGTACCACAAAAAAAATAAAAAAATAAAAAAATAAAATAAAATGTATATTTTATGACACGGCCGTGTTAGTATTATGATATTTGTGTGCGGCACAATAACGACATTAGTTTTATCTGTGCTTAAAATAAATTGTTGTACAAAAAATTAATGATACTGGTTATGGTTATTCTAAGTGGTATAAATTGACCATTGGGTAGTTGCGATGGACAAGCACACCTGAGGCTGCAGTTATATTAATTTATGCTAGGAAAAGTTTAGGTGTGAATCTTCTAGTTAATGTCATGGTTGCATCAGAAAATCAAATGGTACTGTTGTATTGATAAAAAGCTTTGAGAAAATGACAGTTGATCTCGATCATTCTCACAATGACCATTACACAACCTATATATATATATATATATATATATATAGTACATACTGTAATAAATAGCGGAAACAAGTGTATTGTTAGCATGATAATGAACACGACGAATGTTTTGCTGGAAAGAAAGTAGCCATCAAAAAGAGAGCCAAGATTCACACTCACTAGTTACTCGCTCGTTGGTTGTTGATTGGTGACGCCCAAAAAACCAGTCAAAAACAAAGTCGTGACATTGAAAGAGAGCTAGGTAATATTTATATTGCAAAACTTGCCCTGTCATTTCCGGAGTAAATGTTATAATAATACCTAACATATAATGTATATAAGACATGAAGTGAATAAAACTATATTACAAGTGAGAATATCCTCTCCCTGTCGAAGTATTATTTTAACCATATTTCATATGCGCGTATACACACGTATATGTGTGTGAACTGATATTACTGAGTTTCTTGTACCATTTTTGGCTTTTGGGGATGATTTTCATGCTTTATATCTAGGCACCTCACCTCCTTATTGTTATTAAATTCAATGCTTATAATTCCTAATAAAAATAAGGGTGATTTATAGTGACATGTTTTGAGTTGAGGTTTGAATTTATTATAAATAGATGCAACCTGATCTCTTTTTGTACAATAACATTCCTCAAATTTAATAAAATTAACAAAAACACCTCAATGACATTATTACCCTTTGACTAATTAGTTAACCTATTTACCTATTAAAATTACCTTTTTAATTTTTGTAAGTCATTTAAAAAATAATAATAATTACTACAATATATATATATATATATATATATATGTGGTTTAATAAGAGGGCTGCTGACTACAGTAGTTTTTTTTTTTTGGGAAATGAATGCTGACTATAGTTGCGTGGTATGAATTGAGAGGTTACCCAAGTGTGAGCAGCATTAAATAAAAAAAAAAATGGAGCATTAAAGCAGGCGTCACGGTGGTTGGCCCTGTGTTCCTCACCAATTTAATTGCTTTATCTTCAAATTTCTTGCATCAAAGTCCAACCACAAAAAATAAAATAATAATAAAATTTTTAAAAAGAAAAGAAAGAAAAAGACGAGGAGATATTTAGCAAGTGAACAATAGGACCCCCACCTGTAATCAACACTTGTTCATTATCGTCGTCATCGTCATCTTCCTTCTTTAATTAACTAATTGGTGTATCTAAGCCCCCTTAGTGGAAGAAGACGTTTCCTCGTTTTTCAGCTGTTTGTATCTTCTGACACACTTTGAAACACACACAAACACATCTACATCTCTCTCTTTCTTTGTAGCTCATCAAAGCAGCCTGCCAGCATCAAAATCATATGATTTTTAAAGCTGGAGGGTCAAATCACTGAACTTCCCTGTTTTTATCTATACCCAGGTACTTCACACAAAAGCCCCCATGAATGAGAATGAAAGAAAGAGTTCACCAAGAACCATGTACATATATAAATATATATTATGAATCCTACTTTACAATTTCATCTACTTTTTTTTTTTTTTTTTTCCTAAATAAATTATATGGATAAATGAGTGAATAAAGACGGCATCTTTTTGTTCAAACCTTTTAGCCCCATCTCTGTCTCTGTCTCTGTCTCTGTCTCTCTCTCTCTCAAATGAGAGAGTTGCAGAGATGAATTGAGGCAGACAAAGGATTTTTCCTTTTAGTGAAGAGACTACTTATAAATCTATATATATGTGTGTGTGTTTGTGTTATTGTATAGCTACCTCATCATGACATAGAAAGGGAGGTTAGTATGGCATGTATTATTTAGCCAAAACTGCATGGTCATGAACTCGGTCTGGAAATTCTTATATGGCTTTTGTGTAATCCCAACTAAAATTCCCTCTCCTCTGCAGATGATGATGGTGATGATAGAGTCATAGACCACGTGCACACTCAGATTTCCATCACACCAGGTACCAATGATATATATATATATATATATATATATAAACTAATACTATAACCAATTGCTCTCTCTCTCACACACAGTTGGGCCATCTCACTGTCTCTGTCTCTTCTTCCTTTCTCTATCTATATATATAATCAACATACCCATCTCTTCTATACCCTTTTCCTTTCCTTCTATTGTCTTGGAATTGATCTGAATCATGGGAATATTGTGTCCTACTACTGGGATTTTGCTTTTCATATTCATAAATATTGCCTCATCACTTTCCCTTCATTTTTCCAGGATTTATTGTCTCACCACTCTACTGTTGTTACTGTAAAAAACCCCTACACTTTTTACAGTTGTCTTAGCAAATGGGTTGAATACCCTCCCAGTCAAACAGGTACTAATTTTAATTGTACTAATACATATATATTACCTGTAGAGAGAGAGAGAGAGAGAGAGAGAGTTTTGTTGAATTGGATGTGAAACCTAACTTCGTCCCTTTTCAGTGATATAAGGTGTGTCTGTCACTCTGTTTTGTATATATACGGAGTCTTATTCATTCAAAGATCGATGGCGACCTACTTTTATGGAAATTCAGAAATCCAAGGTGATGGGTTACAGACGCTGATTCTCATGAATCCTGGCTACGTTGGATACTCTGACACTGAACCACCGCAGCCGCCACCAGGAAACTTCGTTTTCCTAAATTCCGCCACATCCGGGAACTCTCTCAACCCAACAAACTTACCTCACGCGCCGCCCCATCACACCCAACAATTGATTGGCATACCACTTCCGTCCACTGGTCCTGCCTCGTCCCAGGATCATCACCCTACATCCGTCCATTCCCACCACCAAAACATCTCCTCCGCACTCCACGGTTTCAACCCGCGCTTCCAGTACAACATATACAACGCAATTGACCCCACGGCGGAGCGTGATGCAACACGCGCTCCGCAAGGACTGTCTCTGAGCCTCTCCTCGCAGCAGGGGTCGTACAGGGCCGAACGTGAAGTACCATCTCAATCCACCGTCCCCGCAATTTCACCTACTAGAGGTGATGATATGCGGGTTTCCGGCGGATCGCCTTCTTCGGCTTCGGCTATTTCCAACGGTGGTAGTGGCATGCAGAGTGTACTGTTGAGTTCTAAGTACTTGAAGGCCGCACAAGAACTTCTTGATGAAGTTGTTAATGTCGGCAAGAGTGTGAAGTTTGAATCCGGCAAGGGGACTAATGGCCAGACTGCCAAGACAATCGGAGAATCCTTGGCTTCTGCGTCGTCGGTGGCCGTGACAGGAGAAGGACTGAGTGGTGGAGAGACAAAGTCTGAGCTTACAACGGCGGAGAGACAGGAAATTCAGATGAAGAAAGCAAAACTTCTCAACATGCTTGATGAGGTACCAATATTTATACCGACACTGTTTTTACCCAATTGAGTTTTTGATCAATTTGTTTTCTTAACTCATAATAAAGTGACGTTCTCATTTTGAAAGTGAAAGTTGTTCTGTTTCCAAGAAAGTTTTGTGTTTTAAGATGAATATAGATTATGATTTGGGTCTCTATCAATGAAGTTAGATCAGATCTTTAGAAGAGTACCCATCAGACGATATTGGGTAAAAACTTTTAGTCAATTTGTTCTAATCATTGAGTCCTCTTCTGTAATTGATTGAAAATAAAGTTTTAACAATTTTTTTTTTTCCTTTCTAATAAGGTCAATTTTCATTTGAAGTTTAAATTAAAAGAACAAGTTTCTGTCAAACATTATTTTGTTTATATTTCTTGAAGAGAAAAGCTGAATTTGTTTTGTTTTTTCAATTTGAAAAAGTCTCTATCAAAAGTTCAGTTTTAGTACACACCTTCACATCTCTAAATACTTGTAGTCCTTTTCCATGGACAGTTTGATTTAGATGTTATATATATATATATCTGAATACTATTTGCTTATGGCATCTAATTATAATCTTTTTGATGGATTTCTGGATTGGAAGGTGGAGCAGAGGTACAGACAATACCATCACCAGATGCAGATTGTAATCTCCTGGTTCGAACAAGTGGCTGGAACTGGCTCTGCAAAAACATACACGGCTCTAGCATTACAGACAATTTCAAAGCAGTTTCGGTGCCTAAAAGACGCAATAACAGGCCAAATTCGAGCTGCAAGCAAGAGTTTAGGGGAAGAAGATTGCTTGGGAGGTGGGAAGCTTGAAGGTTCTAGGCTCAAGTTTGTCGATCATCAGCTTCGGCAGCAAAGAGCTCTACAACAGCTGGGAATGATCCAGCACAATGCATGGAGACCCCAGAGAGGATTGCCTGAGCGAGCTGTTTCTGTCCTTCGTGCTTGGCTTTTCGAGCACTTCCTCCATCCGTAAGCACTACTAAAATCTCTTCTCATAAGTTAACCCAGTTGAAATCTCTCCTCTTTCAACTTCAAAATTCTATAGTTTCTGGTCTTCTTTTTTGCCTAACTTCTTACAATTTGTATTCAGTTATCCCAAGGACTCGGACAAACACCTGCTCGCAAAACAAACAGGACTTACCAGGAGTCAGGTACCCAATAAATTTCTTTGGATTCTTCAACAATTTCTTGCCTTAATTGTGGTATTCTGTAGTTTAAAATGCTTTTGCTATAATGCAGGTGTCTAATTGGTTCATAAATGCTCGAGTTCGGCTTTGGAAGCCAATGGTTGAAGAAATGTACTCCGAGGAGATGAAGGATCAAGAACAGAATGGATCTGAGGAAAAAAGGAGCAAAAGCGAACATAAGGAAGATTCGTCATCAAAGTCCATTGCTCCGCAAGAGAAAATTGCTGTGATGGAAAATCGAAACAATAGTTTCAAGTCCAAACAAAACGATCCCACAAACCAGAATACTTCTCCAGTTTCAACATCTCCCACAGGTGTAAATTTTCGAAACCAGTCTGGTTTCACTCTTATCAGGTCACCAGAAACAGAAGGCATGGCACAAGGGAGTCCCAAGAAACCAAGGAACGCCGAAATGTTGCAGTCCCCAAACAGTGTTCCGTCAATGGGCATGGATATCAAAGCCAGTGAGGCTAACAATGAACAGATGTCGATGAATTTTAGCAATGAGATGCAGAGCAGAGATGGTTTTACTTTAATGGGAACCCCAACAAACTTCATTGGAGGATTTGAGTCATACCCTATGGGGGAAATTGGAAGATTTAACGCTGAGCGATTCCCAGGAACATACTCCGGCAATGGTGTTTCTCTTACCCTTGGTCTCCCACACTGCGAAAATCTCTCTATTTCAGGAGCCCATCAAACTTTTCTCCCTAACCAAAACATCCAACTGGGAAGGAGACTCGAAATGGGCGAACCAAATGAGTTTGGGACCCTAAACACTCCAACATCTTCTCACTCAACAACCATTTATGACATGCAGAATCGGAAAAGTTTTGCAGCGCAGTTGTTGCCAGACTTTGTGGCCTGATGAGTAAAACCAGGTAATGGTGAAGAAAGAGGCAGAAAGGGAAACTGCATTGTACTGCAACGAAAGAAGCAGATTTACGTAGTATAGGTCTATACTTTGCTTAGAACCATTGAGTTCTTATTAGCAGTTTAGGATTTTAAAACATATGTTTCAGGATTGTATATTATTTTTGTTTCTGATAGATGGATTGTTGTAATGATTGTGAAACATTAGTTACTTGGGTGGGGGTATAGAAATGAATATTGGTTTTAACTGAATTTGTGTAAACCCGTTGTCTCTAGGGAAAGCATAATTACATTTCAGTGGGTTAAGGTGCATTTAAACATATTAAGGGGTGAGGAATGGTAATGCTTCTTATGCTGAGAAGACGAGCAATAAAAAGAAATTTAGGGATTGTTCAAGAGCAATTTCAACCTAGATTGTTGGAAGAGAGTTTGCAATTGTCTCCCTTTTACCTGTCTTCTCAATAAGCAAACAGGGTATGATACTAACAAATAATACTCTTTTGAGAAGGTCCCCTTCGTCATCTGCATCACTGCGTGTTGCATTTTTGCTGCATTTAACAGGTTTGATGCAATGCTTCGACGGATTTTTTTTTATCAGAGGTTTATAATTTCTAATGATCTTTGTTGAGGTCTGCAAATACTCTCCATCACCAAGCTTTAATATTTCAAAGTTCAAAGTTAATATAAATATACAATGTTAAGAAGAAGGGCATACATATGAATGTCCACAAATTTGTATCGACACTTCATGTCTGACAAACCAAACCTTGTTGTCAAGTCTGTTTACTAATGAAATTTTATTTGCTAACTTCTGCCTATAGCCTTAATCAAACTAGTGGGAAGTGCATTAATTCCTGCCTATAATTGCCATCTTTTATGGATGAAGAGACAAACCCTAAATCTAAATGTAACTTGTCATTAGATGGAAAGTCATATATGTAAGGCATATACATACACATGTGAAGGACAATCAGTAAGATGGGGACTTGTATCAGATGTCTCCCCTCCTACTCTATCCTACATCCTGCTAGCTAGAAGTGGGCAATAGGCGGATGTGAAGAAAATGGATCCACGTATCTCATGGCAACTCTGCGTCGGTAAAGGTTCCCACTGCACCATTTCTGATTTCCTACACCAACCCACAACCTCCTTGAAAAGCCTCAAATTTGTGCTTGCGTTGCTTATAGGTGACGCGGGGAGGAAGCCTACACGTACACTAGTAAGTGTTTTCTGTCCCAAAGGAAAAGAAAAGAAAGAACGGAGTAAAAACAGAAAGCAAAAAGGTCATTGCTCTGACCTCCAATCCTTCGTATCAAAATTATGGGCATACTTAACCATCAAAGTTGGGTCAAAAGAATTTAATGTTTCATATCCTGATCCAGAAGATTATACAGTTACAAAGCATCATCTCACATTAACAGTCAAAAGCTTACAGGTATTCACATAATTTACAGGCCCCAGAGAACTGTAGTGTCATACCGTAACAAGAAGATCAAACCATGGGACACCCCACGTTTCTTATAATATTTCCCCTTCTAAGCCATGCTCTAGTTTAGGAAGTAAAAGACCCTTTTGACTTCTCAATATTTGATTAAGAATGAGGTATTTGTACTTTGTACCAGTGTGGAGAAAAAAATGAAGTGAAAAATAATGTAATAAGAGTCATAATGTGTTGTCATACCATTGATGCACCTATAGATGTTAGTCTTCTCTTGGCAACCTTAGACCTGTAACACCATACCTCAAATGCCTCAGTAAGGTCTGGGTACCGAATATGTTCACTTCCTAACCATTCAGTCAAAATATCCGCCTGGTCCACTGATGGCAATGCAAGAATTATTGAAACAAATGCCGACTCTAAGGATTGCCACAGCTCACCATCCATTTTAGGTGCCAAAACATCTTCACCGTCAGTTGGTATGGAATCAATCAAATGCTTCATTACCCTAGCAAATGGAAGCCAAACCTTAACCATGTGAAGCCGTTTTGCTGTTGGCAAAATGACATTGCCATAACCTATTGCCTCTAAAATCTTTGTTGTCACCTCAATTATCTTCAATTTCATCTCCAGCATTTCAGCTTTGGGACTAGCTTGCTCAACCACCTTCACTATATTTTCTGATGCCTCAGTCCAACTGTTAACAACTTCCCTCATTGTTTCCAACTTAGCCATTATCTGACAACTCCATGACAAATCTATTAAATAAAACTGAAACAACTGATATTTCTCGGCCTCAGGGACTGATTGTTCAGGATCACATAACAAAGATTCCACTAGATCGTTGAATCTCGCTAGTAGTCCCCTAACACATTCTCTAACCTCCAATTTTATCTCATCATCAGCTACAAGTAAAGGGGCATCATCATCTTCTGTAAGCATGTACTCAATCTGCTCTTGGGCTGAGGTTTTTAGTTCATTCATGAGAGGAGGGGGTGATGATGTAACAAATTGGATGGCTGAGAGAAAAATCCTCACTATAGCTGTTGAATTGACAGGTTGAAGACGGGCAATAATTGGTTCCATTTGCGAGCCCATGCCTGGAATGATACGTAGAATCTCCTCCTCCTCAGCCTCTTCCCAAGGAGCGGCTTCCAAGTAATCTACACAGGCAGTGATGATTTGTGGGCAACCAAGGTCGACAGCTACACGAAGAATGCCAAGAGCATTTTTGACACCATGCCACATTTCTGTTGCTGAAGCATCCACACTAACATAGAAGAAGCGTAGGACAGTGACATGGTAGTCAAAGTCAGATTCCTGACAGTAAACCTCAACACAGTTGCGTGAGTCTAGGATCTGACACGTGGGCCAGCTCTCAGATAAACGATCAGCAAAGTATTTGCTCTTCTCTGCAAGGATGTGCGAATGACAATATACCCAATCATCTCGGCCATCCTGTGTTCGTAGCCTAACAACAACATCACTGGTCGATCGGTCACCAATCCTGCTCGGAGCCCCCGTTCCACTGCCCTGAAATGTTGGGAAAATAACAGGAAAATACACCGCTAAGCATTTTCTACACTTCAGCAGAGAAAAAGGGAGCGCCGGATCAGGGATATAATATATAAATTTATATTATATATAGTTCTTTGCAGTTCCATTCCCATAACAAAAGAACTGCAACACTAAACCAAAATCAAAGATGATGCAGGATTACTTGCCAGAAACAAATGAATTGTCTTTCTTGCTGAAGCAAATTCGTCCGTGGCTATATTTTTAAAATTAATGACAACGACAATGGTTTGATTGTCAGAAACCAAAGAAAATACTAAGCAAGGGGAAAAACTCACAGTTGACTTCATTGAAGAAATGAACACTATTAAGTATCTCTTTTATGCATTATGCCGCCTGTAAAATGAATAAGAATTGTACAAATAAATGAGTATTGAGTATACTATTTAATATACATGAGATTATAAATAAATAGTTTCTAGATTGGTTGAATAGCTTGACACTGCATCTATAAAGATTTAGAACTGATTTGATCATATGGTAACAAAATTTCATAAATAATGCCCGCACAACAATAAAATGAGAGACCGAAAGAACTGCAAAGATATTTCTAACCTGGTCAAAAACTTATATACAATGTGCTAGATCTGGTGATAAACTTGGTATATATTTATTATATGCAACGAAATAATTGAGAAACCATATGTTCCAATTAATTATAAAGAATAAAAAGGGTTCCAAGGGCATAAGAGTTTAAACTCCCAAGCAAAATAATCAATTATGACTAATATAAGAGAGCAACAACTTCCTACTTCGTATAATTTAAATTTCCCACAGCATATCACACAATTAAGTTCTATCTAAGCAAAACTATAAAATAATATTGATAAATAAGATGAAACCGTAATCTAACTTCTTTTACTAATCAGGTGGTCTCTTCCAGGACAATTAACAAGCACATTGAGTACATCAACAAGTCCACATTTTCCAGCAGATTTGGCAATGATTAAGCAGGTGGGATAGGGAAAATGAGATTCAAATCTGAAGGGGCAACACCAAACGGATACCTACTTTTCCAATGTGTGTGTATACACACACACTCGTATTTGTGTGTGTCTTGTGTTGCAGTTTATATGTAAGAACAAAAGAGATCAGAGCTGGGTTTCTTTGAAAAAGAAGATTTAGTTGGTGAATTCGAACTGGTAACAGTGATTTTGATAAGTGATATTATATAATTCTAACTTTAGCGAATAGTTTATGTTTTAGAAAAGCAAAAGATTACAGTTTTGTGAAGAACAAATATATAACAGCTAATCGGAAGTTCTCTAACAAATTAAGCAAATATGTGAAGATATAAAGGGTAGTAGCTAATAAATGAATAAGAAGGAACGACGGTAATTACCTTTCGTTCCCATTTCTTCTCTCTGTAGATTTTCTCTCTCTAGTCCAGTGGATTCGAAGAAGAATCAACCGAACGGCCTGTGTGCTCATATAATTATTAGTAATTTTTTTCATCTATAAAGAGAAGTTTTTTTCTTTTCTCTCCGATCTATAAAGATTAGTTAACACGTGGAAATAAGAATAAGAGGAATTAGCTGTTCAGCATAACTGAGGATTGAATTTGATGAAACAATTTCTTAAAAATAACAATATATATATAAAACAAGATGCCGTTAATTTAAATTATATTTATATCATACAAAATTTATAACAAGATAATTTAAATTATATTTATATCTCCTAAATTTACACAATTGAATAATTGTAAATGTGAAAAATGTGTAGATGCCGTTGATTATGTAGATGCTTTTTTTAATACCGTTAATATTGAAAACTTTGTAAAATTTTACACAGTGAACAATAATAAGAAAAACTTTAATTTAGGTTTGTTTTGGATGTAAAATAATTTTTAGAAAGTATGACTCATTTAATGGATTCGATCCGAATTTCGATCTAGATCTTTGTCAAATATCAAAAATATAAAAACAAAAAATATATTTTACCTGAAAAAGAAAAATATTTTCCGTGAAAAATATTTTATAATGAATCCCTTTGTTTAGGCTCTTGCAATGCCCTCATTGCAGTCGGGTTACCCAGTCCACCCGGGGTGGTATACCCGGACTGAACGCTTGTCATTACATCGGATCAAGGATTGCGTCTAACTCTGATATCAACTGTAACGGGTTAGATACTTAGCATGTAAATTCTAATTAATTTGTGTTAGATTTTAATCACAAATAATCATAACAAATCCCTAGATTTTAGAACTCCAATTAATTTCACATTCTTATAACGCATAAATATATATAGTTAGATATACATACTTCGATTCATGATATCAAATCTTGTTGAGATTAAATCCAACGTCTAGATCCTTTAACCATGAACGAAGCTGCAACTATGATAAACAGGCAAAAGTGAAAACTGGTTTCTCTCTCTTGGCCTTTTGCACACAAAAAAACTTTTACGTGTTCTATCATTAATTGTACATAATTGATGAGATATATGCACTTTTATAAAGGCAAAGAGAGGACCAATTTTCCTTATTAGTATCCTAATTCCACTTTCTATCAAAGTAAGGAATAAGAAAGTAAAACACTTCTCCAATAAGTAATTACCAAAAACGTAATTATAAGTTAACCAAGAATAAATAATATTCATTGATATCTATTTACTTAGGGGAATGGATCCTCTCCAAGAATAGTTTTCTCAAGACATCTACATGTATTAATCCTACGACTCTTAAGGCGCCACATCAACAACTTATTTTTGACTCGTTCAAAAGATTAAAAGTTACTACGTTTTCTTAAAATATATAACTATATTAAATTACAAGTTTACCCACATTCAAAAAAAAACTTTTTTTCTCTTTCTCCTCTCTTCCTTCTCTCTCCTATATATATCCAGATTGGTAGATATATATATATATATATATATATATATATATATATATATATATATATATATATAGATTATATACGAAGTATTTCTTGATCCACCATTGACAACTCTCTCTCAAACCTACTATTTCTTTCTTTCCATGTCGTTCCAGATGTCGCATCGAATTGGGTTCATAAGAATCCGTTGAAAAGTGACGAACAAATGCTTCAAACCTTCAATCAACAAAACTGTTCAAGCTTGAAGCCTTCGAATCAATTAATAATTCCAATGCTTGGTGATGGCAATCAACAAAACTGTTCAAACTCTTAAATATATATTATTGGAGAACGGATCCTCTTGTAGACATGGAAGCTGGATCACAAAACCCATGGCCACCTTCTCCGATCGCATTGATGCCAAAGACAACATTCCTGAGACTCTGACGTATATGTATATAATCTGCATATATATATATATATATATATATATATATATATATATCTAGCCATGTGTGTGTGTGTGTATATATATATATATATATATGTTATATATAGGAGAGAGAAGGAAGAGAGGAGAAAGAGAAAAAAAGTTTTTTTTTTAATGTGGGTAAACTCTAATTTAATATAGTTAGATATTTTAAGAAAGTGTAGTAACTTCTAGTGTTTTGAACGAGTCAAAAATAAGTTGTTGATGTGGCACCTTAAGAGTCGTAGGATTAATTCCTGTAAATGCCTAGAGAGAACTATTCTTAGAGAGGATCCGTTCCCTTTATTTAGCCACCAAGTAATGTGTCATATGTCCAAATCATGTGGGCTACAATGAAATAAATAATCTATCATTCTCCCACTTGGTACATATGATAACTTCTGTAGTAGTTTAGTAAAATAGTTATTAATGTGCACCAAAAATCAAATTAAGGTATTAAGTTGGTCATCATAAATACCATGGCAAACAAACTACCAATGTAAGTCATGGCAGTTGTATGTCACTAAATGACAAGGTCTCTTCCATGTACCACAACACTAATAACCCATTTAACATAGTTTATAAGTGAGAAGCATCAATAAAGGTATATAAGTGAGAAACATCAATAAAGGTCTAGCAATAATGTTTTTTCTAAGACTATTCCTATTTTCATCATTTAAAGTAATACATGCATATACATACATAAATTAACAGGAAATATCATAAACACATTTTAATGAGCTCAAAATGTCAAATATATATAAGTATTGTTAAGCAATCCATAACAGAAATAATAATTAACTTTGATTACATTCAAGACCCATTCTTTCAACACGCCTTATAAATTTCTTGGGTGGTAATCCTTTTGTTAATGAATTTGCAGCCATAAGTTGTGTGCTTATATTTTCAAAAGACACTTGTTGTTTCTGAACTTCTTTTTTAACGGTAAAATATTTCAGCTCCATATGCTTAACGTCATTGGAATACTTATCGTTTTTAGTAAAGAAGACAGCTGCGGTGTTATCACAATAAATTTTCAGCGGTTTGGAAATTGAATCCATAACACCAAATCTCGAAATAAAGTTCTGCAACCACAAACCATGATTTGTAGCCTCAAAGCATGCTATAAATTCAGCATTCATAGTAGATGAAGCAATAATAGACTGTTTTGCGCTTTTCCATGATATTGCCCTCCAGCTAAAAGGAACAAATAACCAAAAGTGGATCTTCTACTATCCACACATCCAGTAAAATCTGAGTCTGGGTAACCAATAACCTCTAAATCACCAGTCCTTCTAAATGTGAGTATATAATTCTTTGTCCCTTGTAAATATCTCATGACTTTCTTTGCAGCTTTCCAGTGATACATTCTTGAATTGATTTGGCATCTGCCTAGCATTCCAACTGCAAAATCAATATCTAGACGAGTGCAAACTTGTGCGTATATCAAACTTCCCACAATAGACGCATGAGGAATATTTTGTATTTCTTTATATTCTAATTCATTATTTGGGCATTACATCAAACTAAATTTATCCCCTTTATGTATTGGAACAATACTAGCTGAATAATATTCCATATCAAATCTCTCTAAAATTCTCTCAATATATGTTTTCTGGGACAGTCCTAACAATCCACGTGACCTGTCACGTAATATTTCTATTCCTATCACGTAGAATGCCTCACTCATATCTTTCAACTCAAAATTCTTAGAGAGATAATTTTTAGTTTTATGCAATAAACCAAGATCACTAATAGCAAGCAAAATATCATCAACATATAGAATCAGAAATATAAACTTACTCCCACTGACCTTCTGGTATATACACCGATCAACAATATTTTCGTTAAACGAAAAGAAATAATAGTATCATTAAACTTAATATACCATTGTCAGGAAGCTTGTTTAAGTCCATATATTGACTTCTTAAGTTTACAGACCATGTGTTCTTTACCCTCTAATGTGAAGCCTTCAGGTTGATCCATATAGACTTCTTTTTCTAAACTCCCATTTAGCAAAACTGTTTTCACATCCATTTAATGCAACTCTAAATCATAATGAGTTACAAACGCCATGATAATTCTAAAGGAATCCTTCTTAGATATAGGAGATAAGGTTTCTTTATAATCAATACCTCCCATCTGAATGAAGCTCTTGGCTACAAATCTGGTTTTATATCGTTCAATATTACCATTAAAGTCGCGTTTAGTCTTAAAGACCCATTTACACTCGACTTGTTTAAATCCTTCTGGCAATTCAATGAGTTCCCAAACTTTATTTTGCTCCATTAACTACAACTCTTCATCCATGGCATTAATCCAATTACTAGAATTATTACTAATAATGGCTTGTGAATATGTAACCGGATCTTTACATATCCCTATATCAAAATCAGATTCATGTAGATATATCACATAATCATTCGGAATAACAGGTCTCTTTTCTCTTTGAGACCGTCTTAATGTTATTCCTCGTGATTCTTCTATAACTTCATTGATGATAGTTTCATTATGGAGTTGTTGATCATTTAATTGTTCTTCGTAGTTATGCAGTTCAACAACTGGAGAAACAATTATTTCTTTAGAAGTTGTGGGTAAAGGGATTTATTCTTGTGATACCCTTCGAATCCGAGACATGGGTTGATCAGGCCCAGGCCCAAACCCGAGGGATGTCAGACAATTAATATTTAACCGAATACAGAATACAAAATGAATTTAATAAATAAAAGTTTAAAAGCTGAAAAGAATACTAAAACATAATCCTTGAAATTAAAATACTTAAGATCCAATAATCCAAAACCTTCTTAAAAAGAATCCTCCAAAAGTTTTACAACTCGGGAATCCATCTCTAGTGGACCCCTAATAACAATCCCAAACTGAATGTAAATAAATAACTGAAGATAAAATCCAAATCTAACATATGGAATGAAATCCTACGTCGTCGGTAGAATGGAAGATCGTCTCTACTCAGCCCGAACAAACCCTAAGACTGGAAACATCCGATACCTGAAAAATGATAAGTGGGTCAGACCCACAAACAAGTTTTATACTACTGCAATCTAAGTAGAGACCCGATATGCATGTACATCCTAACCAATTCAACAGTAACTAAATAGTCCGGAGATATATATATATATATATATATATATATATATATATATATATATATTCACACTACAGAACTCTCACTGGACTATAGGCCCGTCTCAACCTGACTAGTA